TTGTCTTTTAGTTGTATTTTTGAAGTGGTTGTGCGAGGCAGCAATTTCCGGTGTTTACCTATGCCGCCATCTTGGTTTCTCTCTCCAGGGCTCTGTGTTCTTAAGGAATGATCTCTTTTCTATTTTCTATATTCTACCCAATTTTATTACACTTCAGCTCTGAGACACATATGCGTAACACCTATTATTTCCTCTTTCTCTCTCCCTCCTATATTTCCTTTTGAACTATTTCAACAAACTAAAAAGTATAGAGAATAATGTAATAAACACCCAGGTACTGCCACATGACTTAAAACTAGATTAAAACACTTTTACTTATGTTGGATTATTTCCCTAAGTAATTGGTGGAATAAGATTATGAATACAATGTGTGAATCATTTATAATGTCTGTTATGCACATTATTATCCAAAGTGGCTGTGACATTGGGACAGTAGCGCATGCTTGATGTTATAATCCATGATGTTTTGTGTATTACAGCTAAGACGAGAGGATCTACACATTTGGCACAAAATGGCACCTGAAGTTTGGCTTAGTTTGCATGTCTCCAATCTGGTAGGTATGAACATTTTTCCATTTGTTTTTGCTGTTTGGAATTCTCATGAAGTTTATTTGTTCATGTCTTTGGCATACTTATTCATGGATGCTTGTTTTGTTAACATATACTAGTAATAATGCTCTTCCTGTTTGATTCATTTATTTTCCTTATTTTTACCATCTTCTTTTGTTATTTTTTTATTACAAGTAAAAATGTTTTAAACGTTTGTACATATTTTATCCTATTTGTCTTTGCTACTGAGTCTGTTGCCTCAAATTTTATTATGATACATATCTGAAATATCTGATTTAATGGCTGATGTTCAGTGGTTAGAGTGTTGGCCCGAAAACCAAAGGGTCACAGGTTCCATTCCCAGAAAAGGGAATGTACCTGGGTTGTAGGTTTCATACCTGCTCCCAGTTGGGGTGTGTGTAGGAAGCAACCAATCTATGTGTCTCTCTCACATGGATGTTCCTTTCTCTTTTTCTCTCTCTCCTCTCTCTCTCTCTCCCTCTCGTCTACTCTCTCTAAAAATCCATGGAAGGCCTGGGGGGTAACAGGTGCAGAGTGGAGGGGTCAATGGGGAAAATATGAGACATCTATAATACTTGCAACAATAAATATAAAATTTTAAAAATCAATGGAAAATAAAAAAACAAAACTCTTTAATCAACCTAGATTTTATGGCAATGCTGGGTGTGGGTAAACAATATTTCCCAAGTGTTATCTGGCTGTCAGAAGAGTGTTTATTATAATATTATTTATTATTCTGTTGTTTTGAAATGATTTACTGATGTTTTATTCACAGTTGGGCCTAACTCTGAAGTCTGTATTTTACTGAATAAAAAAGAATGTTATATTCATGATTCTATACTATCGGAATTATTGCTTTTCCAATAATTCTGTGTTGGGGTTGGACTACTACTTCTTTTCTAGAACATTAAAAAAAAAATCTCTAGTCCTTTTAGTTTTCCAATAAATTTTAAAATCATAGGGTCAAATTTTAAGACTATGTTCAGTTTGATGGCATTTTGATTAGAATTGATTTACACTAGCAAACTAAGCCGGGAGAATACAAATGATTATAGTGAAGGAACATAAGATCTCTGGAAAGGAGAGTTGGATTGATTATTTACCAAGGAGAATCCTATATAATAAAAGGGTAATATGAAAATCGACCGAATGGCAGAATGACCGTTCGCCATGATGTGCACTGACCACCAGGAGGTAGATGCTCAACGCAGGAGCTGCCCTCTGGTGGTCAGTGTGCTCTCACCCACAAGCGGGACTGGTGGCTGGGAAGCGCAGTGCAGGAGCTGCCCTCTGGTGGTCAGTGTGCTCCCACCCACAAGCGGGACTGGTGGCTGGGAAGCGCAGTGGCAGTGCTAAGGATGTCTGACTGCAGCTTAGGCCCACTCCCCGCGGTATTAAGGTATTAAGCCTTCAATTGGACATCACTCGAGGGCTCTCAGACCACAAGAGGGTGCAGGCCAGGCTGAGGGACCCCCACCTCCCCCAGTGCATGAATCTCCCGCGGTATTAAGGTATTAAGCCTTCAATTGGACATCACCCGAGGGCTCTCAGACCGCAAGAGGGTGCAGGCCAGGCTGAGGGACCCCCGCCACCCCGTGCATGAATCTCGTGTAACAAGCCTCTAGTATGTTATAAGAAGACTACTGACACAGAACAAAAAACAATCTTTAAGCAGGTGAAAGGACACTGACTAGCTAGTAAACGGATAAACACCTGTCCTCAATTTCTCCTAAAGATCTGGCAAGACAGAGTGCAACTGAGTTTCACAGGTAAGGTTATCTTCCTGATTCTGTGAGTTTCAAGATTTCCTAAATACAGTGGGGCCTTGACTTACGAGTGTCCCGACTAACGAGTTTTTTTGAGCTATGAGCCGTCTCTCGGCCAATTTTTTGCTTTGAGTTGTGAGCTAAAATTCGGGTTACGAGCCAGCTTCAGATACCCCACCGCTAGTTGGCGCAGTGAACGTCACAGTGAACGCCACAACATCAGCCCAGCATCACGTGTCTCGCTCGTTCACTTTTTGATTTGACATACGAGTAATTTGAGTTATGAGCTCCGTCACGGAACGAATTAAACTCGTAAGTCAAGGCCCCACTGTACATTCTCTCTCCCTGAGCAACTTGATGACAATGAGAACAGGGACCACCGGCCAGGCGCTGAGCTAATACTTAACATGCATCATCACATTTAACCCTCCAACAACCCTGTGAGTCGGCACCAATTCCCAGGACTGAGATGAGAGAAGAGGGCAGGAGAGGCCCTTCCCAGGAGAGTTCTTACCCGTTTGGCCAAAAAGACCTCTTGCTGTTCTTCCCACCTCTTCTGTTCCGCTCTGACACGTGCTTTATACTCTGCAAGCTCAGGCAGTTCTTCCAGCCATCGATGGCGAGCATTTTGCACAGCTGTTTCTACCTGCAGGATATTGCGAGAGAAAGAGGTAAAGGGAGGTATAAAATTTCAAAAGGATCCCATTTGCAAATGGCAACTATGATGGCATGTGTCTGTTACACTGCACTGTACTACATCACAGTTATAACTGACTTCAAGTACCGCCCCTTACCCCAAACAGTGGAGTCTAATCCATCTGTTCTAAACTTCCCATACTGACCCATGCAAATGCCACAATAGGAAGTGAGGGCCTAGAAATGTTTGATGGCCAGTACTGTTTTAGAAAGCTCTATACAAAGTACCAATTGCCATTTCCCTATGTATCTTAGGAAAAGGAGAAGGCAGGCAGGAGGGTTGCTTGGTGCCAGCTGCTGTCCAATCAGTACACCTACCCCCCTCAGTCCTCACGCCCTACACACACACACACACACACACACACCCATGCATTCACACATACGTATGCAAGCACCAATACAGTTTAGAGCCTTATACCTGGCAAATTTTCCTGCAGTCAAGAATGAGTTTGTGACTAAAGAATAAGGGTAATACATCAATTCAGGCAAAAATCTAAGACTTGATGAATTATAAGGCTAATCTGCTTATAAATCTATTACAAGATCATTTATTAAATAATCATTCCTTATTCTCTTGTTTTGAAATACACAGATACACACATATATACTATATCCACACATACACACCAAAGTGCAGCTGATATAAGAGGCTGTATTCCTCACTAAAATGTCAAATACAGTTACAGGTAAATTCCAAAGAGTTAAAAATATGGGGAAAAGATAAAGGACCTGTAGAAATTTATATTCCTTACAAAGTTAGTATGAACAATTCCCTTGCTACTATACTATGCTATTTGCTTTTCCTCACAAGAGCTATACTTGAGCTTGATCTGTCACTGAACCCTTAAACATGTCTCTTTGTTGACAGAATATTTTCTTGCTCTGTTCAAGTCTCATGGCAAACATTTCAGAAAATTATTTTAACTGATGGAAGATATACTTGATACCATTACGTACATTTTCCTATGTTTCCAGACTTTAAGGATGCCTTGCAACATCATGTAGAACAATTTGACAAGTAGGCAGAATTTTCAAGTGTTTAGCAAAAGCTGAGTATATTTTTCAAAATGTTACCTCAGGTTATTATCTTAAGACTTTTAATAATAGTTTTAAATAATAAATACACAATAAATAATATTATATGAAGGTTCCAGGAACTTCTAAGGTCTAGAAACCCTATCGTATGGTACGTGAGGTCAAAGCCATTTTCAAAACAATTGAATTCAGACATTCTCCATCTTTTTACTCTTGTTCTCTCGCGTTGAAACAGTATCTATCGTTCTCCGGGCAACACGCTATGTGGTGGTGTCGCTGCTCTCACGGCCGATGGAATATGTGCTAGAGTAGATGTTTTTGAAAAACTTCTTATGTAAAGGTAGCCCGAGACCAAAAAATTCAAGAAGTGCTGTTATTGATAAAACAAACAGCTCATCTTTATTCTGTGCACACAGAGCTGTACTTTTCTCGGTGGGACAGTTCTTGGAAATGAAGTGACAAGCCCGTTAAAAGTGAAACAGCTTTCTGAGTGTGTCCCAGGGGAGGTAAGGGCACCACTTTGGGGCAGAAGATGGGATTTACAAATCACGTCCCTGCTTATTCAACTCCACAAGTCTCAACACAAACACTGTGGTTTTAAGTTTGCTTAGCTACAGCTACGTTGGTGGAATGTTTTCTATACAGGTAGACAGGAAAGGTTCGTAATTAAATTGTGTTTAATTCAGCTGTAAAACCACCGTCTTTAACCTCAGCTATCTGAATGCTCAGAGTAACCTCAGAAGAGCAAACATTTTGTCAACGGAAAGAATATACAGAAACGTTGAGGGGCAACAGTTTTTATAACAGAAACATAATGAAGATAATTTTAGGAACCGCATAGGAGTCCTCTACCCTAGAATGCACAAACATTTTAAAGTATAAAGTTCTGAACCAGTGCAATGATAGCATTTTGTAGGCTTTTGCTAATAGACAAGCAGTTCCAATAATTTACCTGTTTGGCAATGTTTTCACAATATTTGAGTTCCAATTCAACCTCGAGTTTCTTCAAGGCTGCCTTGATAGCTCTTTCCTTTTCCTGCTCTAGATCCTGCTGGGCCCCCTGCTCCTGTCCTTCTGCCACCATTGCCATCTCTTTCTGGGAAACAGCATCTTTGGCGGCTACCTGGTCCGTCTGGCTGTAACAGTCAGAGGTTGTCTTTTTCATTGCCTTTGCCGTTTGAGCCAGCTTAGCCTGCCACTCCTTTTCAATCTGTTGAAAAAGTTCTTCTTTCATCTGTTTTCAAAAGAAAAATCGTATGAGAAGGAAAATATTCAAATCACTATTAGTGAAAACTAGGATAGCCAAAAAGACAGCCACAGCTGTGTTTGAAAACCATCTAGACATTGTTGTGATAATTACATGAGGTTTGGAAATAAAGTCTGTGGAAATATGTTCTCAAGTAATTCCTGAAAATTACTCTTTGACCTTATCTACGTGACATAAATCACATGGAAAATTTAAGTATGTCGTGTAAGGTCAGGCTTTCTTGCTTTCAAGATGCAACCTGCTGGAGGCTTCGGCATTGCCGATACCAAGATGACCTGATAGGAAGAAAGGAACGGGGGGAGAAATGGAGAGAGGGAGAGGGAGAGAAGGAGAGAGGAAGAGATGGAGAGAGGGAGGGAGAAGGGGAGGAGATGGGAGGGGGGAGAAGGGAGGGAAGGAGAGGGAAGGAGAAAGGAAGGGAAAAACTGTTGCTACTAATATGTGTTTCCCATAAACATAAGGCTTTCCACAAAGCAGGCACTCTGCACATCTAATTAATGAACCTAATTTCAGTCAGTTGAATGGTGTCCACCTGGCCAGCAGCCACAAGGACCAGAGCAGCAGAGACTCAGGTGCCTTGTCCTTGACAGCCTACAAGTCTCACCAGACTGTCCTCAGCCTGCACGCAAGCTGTTCCAAGCATGGCACCCGCCCCCTCTCCTCTCCTAGGTAAGCCCCTGCCTAACCCTGGCCGAGGGGGGAAACGTTCCTGCCGTGGGGTCTTCTCCACGTGTAAGTAATAAAGGCTACATCCTTCCTCTCTGGTCCCCCGTGTGGTTTTTTTTTGGACTATCAAAGGACGGTGTGGCACTCCTGGGATTGGAGCTCTTCTGTCACACTGGTTGTCTGGGTCTTTTCTGGTTCACAGCTGACCTAGACTAGTTCTGTCTTAAATGCCATCTGATTCCTCCCCACCACTGGCACATGCCGACTAGATGATCTCTATGTCTGTTCAGTGCTCTGTGATTTTGGAAAATCTCCAGCGACCAAGGGACCCATTTCTTCACAATCAGGTCATGGGGACTTGCAGCTGCACCACATAGATGAGAAAGTTGTCTGGTGCTGCATCACATAACACTGGTATTATTTTTTTGTCTGACTATTTTTTGTTTGACTATAGAAGAAATCCTCAAATTTTCTTCTCTGTGTATGTCTATCCCTCAGGAGATTTTCCCATTTGCACCTGCATTTCCTTTTGAACCACAGCAGAAAATTGCTACCAATTTTCTCTGTTTGTGGGTATATAAGTTAATTTTGCCACCTCATAAACCAGCTAAAATTTAGTAATTTAAAACAATAAACCTCTCTTATTTTTCATGATTCTGTGGGTCAGCCAGGGCTTGATTCTGGTCTAAGCCAATACAGCTGGTCTCTGCAGGCGACTGGGGCTACATGGTCTAAGCTGGCCTCACTCACATGTCTGGTAGTTAGTGTGATGTCTGCAAGGGCAATGGTGATGATTTGATCACATGTGTCATCATCCAACAGGTTATCCCAGATCATTCACATGGTGGTGGCCACAGGGTTCCTAAGAGCACCAAGCTTCCAAAAGCCTCAATGCATCAATGCTTCCCAATGGCCAGTCAGTCATGTGGCCAAGGTCAAATTCTAGGATGAGAAAGAGTCTCTGCCTCTGATTGAGAAGAGCCACAATATCATGCTGCAAGGGGGCATGCATTCAGGGGTAGGAAGAAGGTCTGGCCATTTCTGCAATTCACCACAGTGAGGAAAACCTTGTTCCCTCTCTTCACAGAGGAAAAATAGTAGATTTATTGGGCATAGGGATCCGCCACCTGAAGATATTACAGAAATATCTATTCCGAAAGTTGTACCACTAAAGGGAAAGAAATATTTGGATAGTTTTAAAGCACTTAAACTTGTTTTGCATGGCTCAAACTGCAAAAATCTCTCTAACTTGTAAGGACTGACTTAACATGTATTATAACTAAACCAGAGGCCCAGCGCGTGATTGAAATTGCGCGAAGAGGTGCCCCCCCCTCCCGCCGTGCGAGGAGGCACCCCATGGGTGGCCAGGACCCGTGCCTGACTTCTGCCCCAGGCCCCCCAGTCCCCCTGCCTGTGTCCACTCAGGGCCACCGGAGCCGCCACCCTGGCTCGGGCAGGCCCCCCTGTCTCTGTCTCCGTCTCCGTCTCTGCTCCGGGCCTCACCTGCACACGCAACCTCCTCCTGTCCAGTGTGACCCGTTACGGTGTCCCAGCCTAATTTGCATATTACCTCTTTATAGATAGATATAGATATAGATATAGATATAGATATAGATATATGAGCCTTAATGTGTACAGGTATGGCATTATGAATGGGACTATTGAACATCTCTGCCTTGTCTATGAGTCTGAAGGGTTCTGTGTGCATGACTTTTTTCCCCTTTCTCTGAACAAGCCAGGTTAACATGAGGAAAGTTCTGTGTCAATAAAAGCTTTAGCGCTTGGAATTCAGCTCCTACTTAACCCCCAGCTGGACTCAATAACTGTTTCAGAACACAGCACATATGAAACTTTGGACTACCGGTTTTGACTGTCTTATAAATTCTGTATCCAGACTAAGTCCCTGACCTGAAGCTCAGCCATAAGAAATATGGCTTATGCCCAGCAGAGAAGGGCTACCCAAAAAGTTACTTACTTTTTTCCAGAGTCTAATATCATTCTTCCATTGTATGAGTGTGAAATATATCATAGGCCCTAGTTGGTTTGGCTCAGTGGATAGAGCGTCAGCCCGTGGACTGAAGGGTCCCAGGTTCAATTCCAGTCAAGGGCACATGCCCGAGTTGTGGGCTCGATCCCCAGTAGGGGGCGTGCAGGAGGCAGCTGATCAATGATTCTCTTTCATCATTGATGTTTCTATCTCTCTCTCCCTCTCCCTTCCTCTCTGAAATCAATAAAAATATATTAAAGTATATGTATATACACACATATATATGTATGTATATGTATATATATAATAGAAAAACAGTTTGGTATATCTTTACCTACCTCTGGAGGATACGAAATAATTAAAGTCTCTTAAATTTAAAGAAATGCTGTTCTGACTGGCTTAGAAAGACTCCTAAGCCATATAAAGGGTATATATAGAGAGAAGGAAGGAATTAAACTTTTCATGCTAAGTACAATGGCCCTTTAAGTGTGTGTGGGGGTGTAACTACAAAGGGACAGATAGCACAAGGGACTTTTTTAGGATGATGAAACTGCTCTGTATCCTGATCAATCTACATGTGTTAAAATGTGTAGAACGGTATACCATATTTAAAAATGAGTCAATTTTACTGTAGGACAATTTTTCAATTTTAAAGATAAAAAATTAACCTGTAAGTGTCTTCAGAAGGACCAAGTAACAGTTTTGACTTTTCTTCCTGCCCCAGTGCAAGCACTCAAGAGCCAAAGTACCAATCTGCAGCAGCTATAAATTGCAACTCGCCAATTATATGAGGTCCAATTTTACAGCCAAATTGATTTCTTTTTTTTTAAATCCTCACCTGAGGGTATGTCTTCATTGATTTTAGAGAGGAAAGGAGAGAGAGAGAGAGAGAGAGAGAGAGATCAATTAGTTGCCTCCTGCACTCACCCTGACTGGGGTTCGAACCTGCAACCTAAACATGTGCCCTGACCAGGGATGGATCCCGCAACCTTTTGTTGTATGGAACAACACTCCAACCAACTGAGCCACCTGGCCAGGGCCAAATTGATTCTTTTTAAAGTACCAGAAAATATATTCCTGAAAAGAATTACTTCTTTGAGAGAACTGATCTTATGCTCTTGCCATTGATCATATATATATATATGTATATATATACATATGTGTGTGTGTGTGTATTTGATCTTATGCCGTTGCCGTTACCATTGATCATATATATATTTTAAGAAAGAATAAAAAAAGAATCATACTAGAGATCTATTTTAATTTTTATAACATTACTAAAAGCTAAGTTTTTAACTTCTAGGTAATTTAAGATCCCTTCTAACTTTTAAACTTCCAGTACTAACTTAAACAGCTTCCTTTAGAATTATACATGACCTGTTTTTTATGTTTTTATTAATCTACTCAAAAGTAATCAAAATATTTGAGTTCCTCACCTGCTCTTTACTATTCTTTTTAAGTCTGTGGTAGCAAGGCCTTGCTTTAATGTGACTTATTCAAAAGCTTCTGTTTAGAACATTTACTCAGGCCTTTAAAAATATTTTCTAATCTAGACGCAGGTGGCTTTCAAACTGTGGTCTGTACCTGGTCCAAAGTGGGAGTGAGAACTGTGTCTGGATGAGACCCTGAGGACAGTGAAGAAAAGAAGAGGTGCCCCTCTTTCCACGCGATCGGACTCAGGACACTCAGCAATGGCCGCTTGGAAGAGCCAGGGAGGAGCAGAGCACACGGGAGCCCCTCCCATTTCCCTGAGAGGCCACACTGACACTGACCTTTCTCTCCACAGCCTCCATGCCACCCCCTTCCCTGTCATGAAACCCAAATTCAAGTGACCACTGTGCCCCCTCCAGAATGCAACAATGCTCCGACACTGGCGGAGAAACGGGCCGGAGCAAAATGCCCCTGAAGGAGTACTCTGTCCCGGGCTCAGAGGACTGGGTAGGGTCACCTGAGCAGCCCACAAGCAAATGTAAAATGAGGATCCCGGGTTTCAGACTCAAAGTGACTCAGGTCCACTCCTATTTTCAGAAACTGTTTTTGCCTCTTAGGAAAAGATCGATACAGAAGAATGACTTTCTGCTATATGTAGGCCAGTTTCTACTAAGGTCTTAATAATCATCTCAACACTTAAAAGTATGATGTGACCTATATTAGTGTGAAATCGCCAAAAGAGACGTCTACGTATGCCTTCCCCCCTGCACAGGAGAACAAGTGTACTGGTTTCAATGAAACAGTGAGGCCGGGGAAATCAACTGAAGGAAACATGGTATTAACTTGTGCTGTACCTTCTCCTGCATCTGCTGCTCCTTTTCGATGCTCTTCCTGAGAGTTGATTCTAGGTCACCCTTCTCTCTGCACACTTCCAGGTAACACTCCTGCACAGCGGCCATCTCCTTATTCATCTTATCCAGTTCAGACCTTGGATACACAAAAGCAGCAGCTAAATGACCACAAAAAAAATACAAGGGCTGCAGCACAATGTTCTCTAAAATGGGAAATAGGAGAGTGTTGTCTTCCAGCTTCGAAGGCAGCTAAACTGTTTTATTCTCACCTAAGTTGCAAGCGAGTCCCCTCATAGACCTCAAAGAGCTGCTGCTTCTCCACAGCATGCTTCGCTAACAGGCTCTCTCGAATCTGGGCTTTCACAGCTTCATGGTGCTGCTGGTAAGTCCTCTCACACCTGCGAACAAGGCGGCCAGCGGAACCTAAGGCAGTGCCCAGCTTCACAAGAAACCCCAAGTCCACTGGTTTCCCTTCCTCCCTTTCCCCGACTCTTCTCTAATGCACATGATAATTAAGGTCAGATTGGTTGTCCCCAACCAAAAATAGTAATGATTAATTTTCACTGTATCATAAGAATCTTAGAATTTTCTTTCCTCAAATGTTTCTAGAAAAAGAATTAGAAACTTGGATTGAAAATGTCCTTCACACAGAGAGAACAGTCTGTGTTGCGGACTTGTTTATAAAAAATGAATTGAAATAACGGGGTATGTGTGGTTCCTAAATTGCAAGTCATCTACATTAAACACAAATACTTAGTAGTACCAAACTCACAAGTAAGTTATGTTCCAAAAGTCCGTTTCCAAGTTTATGATTTGGTATTTGGAAGACATACCCTTTCACAGATCTCTTCCTTATATAAAGTAGCCTTTAAAACATCATTACGCTATCCCATTTCAATGAACCACCATTTGACGGTGCTATAGAACCCAACACACCACCTAACATCACTTCTATGGAAAATGGGTTCCAAATTCTAATTTGAGAAGCCAGGGACTCGTCTTCTCCAAGCTAAGGTCTCAGTAGGGAGGGGTCACTCCATCATTTCTCTCGAATCTTTTTTTGGGGGCTGTGGGAGGGGAGGAAGATGAGGGGAAAGCAAATGGGGAGGGTGTCCAGGAGGCAGGCATTATATAGACTTTATAGACTTTACCTATCAATAGTTTCTTGTTTATCACGGTCAAAATCTTGTACCATTTGTCTCATTTGATTACATAACTCCTGATTTGTATTTCTCAGTTTTTCTTCCATTTCTTTTAGTGCCTACATATAAAAGAATAAAGTGTTTGTTGGAAATAAACATCATTTTCAATGATTAATCTCATTTTTAAACATCCTCTGTATTTTATCTCTACCCTGTAACATTATCTGACATAGCATTTTCATAATCCCACAAAAGTCTCTTCATGCTTTGATAAGAGTACAGAATCATTTCTTTGACAAGAAGCTTTCTCTAAGGAGTAAAAATTTAAATTTTGTATTTTATTTGAAATATATGAAATGAAAACACTTAACCAGAGAAGTATTGGCTAATTGATGCCTTAAAATAAGTCTTAAAATTAACAGTTTTCAGTAGCCTTTTAAATAAACAAAGTTTTACTTTGTGGTCAAGGGCTGGCTAAGGAGGAAAGAACACCTCTATTAGCCAAGCTACTGTACAGACAGAAAACTGGATTTACACTAACTTACTTTCTAATGAAACTACTACCCTGTGACCAACACTAATGGGAAATAACTGGAATCCTCAATCACCTACTAATATCCTTGTCTTCTAACTCACATTGCCTCCGTATTTTTGCATTTAATGAGGCCATGGAAATTCTCACAAAATATTTTTAAAATTTTTAATTACCTGATTTTGTTGTTGCAAAACTTGAATTTCATTTTCAAGTCGCAGAATATCATCTTTGACAATCAATTCAGAAGTAGAAGAGGGATCTGTTTTAGTCTAAATGTTTAAAAAAAAAGTCAAACGTTTTTCAGGTTCTTAAAAAAGTCTAAGTACTTATCTATCTATATAAAAAGCTAATATGCAAAGTGTCCCCTCAGGAGTTCAACCAGGAGACTGGGAGTTCAATCTCTCACTATGATGTGCGCTGACTACCAGGGGGCGATGAGGAACATGGCAGGCAACCAGCGGCGGCGGCAGGGCGCTGAGGGAGCAAGGGAAGGAGGAGGCAGGTAGG